TGTTTAGATTTGAAAGTAATTATTAAATAAAAGAAATATTATCACCTATTCTTTTGAGTTAATTTTCTTCAAATTTGGCTAGAGAAAACAGAACCACTGTAATTAACAACAATATTATTAAAAAATGAAAACTAATAATATTATGTAAACTATTTGGATTTTACTTGTATTGATGATGATGGTATGGAAGACTCTTGTTATTTACTATAGCTGCTTTTTGTAAACCTTACTATTCTTCAAAATATATTTTTATTATAGATTACAGAAAGGAAGGGAGAGGGGGAGAGAGATAGAAACATCAATGATGAGAGTCATTGATCGGCTGCCTCCTGCATGCCCCCTACTGGGGATCGATCCCGCAACCCAGGCATTTGCCCTTGACTGGAATCGAACCAGGAACCTTTCAGTCTGCAGGCCGATGCTCTATCCACTGAGCCAAACCAGCTAGGGCTTACTAAGTACTTTTTAAAAGTAATTTTAAGATGCCAAGAGAATATGATGATGCCTTGCACTAGTGATAGTTGTGAAGGTGGTGGGAAGTGGTATGATTAGGAATATATTTTAGCAGTAGTATCTTTGGAGCTTGCTATGGATTGGATCTGAGGACTAGTAGAAGAGATCAGTCAGTGATGATTCTTATGTTTGGAGGATGACAAATTAAATGATCTGTGGTGCCATTTACCAAAATTAGAAAAACTGGGGAGAGAGCAAATTTGACAGGTTGGGATGGCATCAACAGTTCGCTGTCCTAGTCCTAGTCAGTTGCTCAGTGGATAGAGCATCAGCCCGTGGACTGAACAGTCCTGGGTTTGATTCCAGTCGAGGGCATGTACCTGGGTTGCCAGCTGGATTCCCATCCCTGTCAGGGCTCATGCAGGAGGCAACCAGTCGATGTGTCTCTCTCACATTGATGTTTTTGTCTCTGTGTTTCTCACCCTCCCTTCCACTCTCCTTAAAAATAATGGAAATATATCCTCAGGTGAGGATTAGCAACAACAACAACAAAGAGTTCACTTCTGTAATGTTTATTTTGAGTTGTCTGTTAAATATTGTTTATATGAGTTGTTGCTCATAAGAAAGTTTTGATTTAGTGTTACACATTTAGGAGTCAGTCATTGAGCTAGACGTTCTTATTTTTTTGGTCTCAGGATCCCAAAAAACTTTGCATTGTGTAGATTATACCTATTAATATATTACGATGTTAGAAATTAAAACTGATAAAAAAAGTTTACATGCATTTATTTAAAAAAATAGCAGTGACAGAACTATTACATTAACAAAGATTTTTGCCTTATCCAGTTTGGCTCAGTGGATAGAGCCTCGGCCTGCAGACGGAAGGGTCCCAGGTTTGATTCCGGTCAAGGGCATGTACCTTGGTTGC